ATGTAACAAAAAAAAATCTACATTTGTAAGTTGCACTTTCACGATAAAGAGATTGCACTACAGTACTTGTATGAGGTGAATTGAAAAATATGTTTTCTTTTGTTTATCATTTTTACAGTGCAAATATTTGTAATCAGAAATAATAATATAAAGTGAGCACTGTACATTTTGTATTCTGTGTTTTAACTGAAATAAATATTTTTGAAAATGTAGAAAAACATCCAACAATATTTTTAAAATTTCAATTTGTAGTCTATTGTTTAACAGTGCGATTAAAACTGCGATTAATTGTGATTAATTTTTTTAATCACAATTAATTTTTTGAGTGAATTGCATGAGTTAACTGCGATTAATCGACAGCCCTAATAATTTCCCCTGGGCTTGTTTATTAGACTCATTTTCATGCAGGCTCAAATCTTATAGGGTTTTTTCCTTGCTTGTCTCTCCATTGTTATGTTACTGCAGCCCATGTGATTCCCTGCGTCGCACTCGCTGTCAGTGCCTTCTAGGGCATTAGCCAGCAACACAGACATCAGAAACCTTGTGACTTTTAGCTCTAAGATGCATCGTTTAATGATTATCCATGTTAAACTTCCTCCGCTTCGTCTCAGGCCCCCGCTGCCCCCATGCCATGGGAGCCTGCCTGCAGCTGATCTTTTCTAAGGTATTAACAGTGGATCCAATTTTAGTGGCGTCAGCAAATTTCACCACCTTCCCCCAAGTCATTTATAATCGAATTGGAAAGCTACATCCCTGGCACTGACTCTGCGGCCGCCCACTGGTATCTGTTGATATCAACATGACCTGATGTCCTTTCAACCAGGTAGCTTTCGAGTTTATATCCCTGTACTCCACAGCAGCAGGGGTTCTCTGTGTATTAGTTAAATCACACTGTTTACAGGGTGCCATAATCACAGTCTATAAGTATTTACATGAGGAACAAATATTTAATAATGGGCTCTTCGGTCTAGCAGAGTAAGGTCTAACACAACCCCATGGCTGAAAGTTGAGGCTAGACAGATTCAGATTGGAGATAAGGTGTATGTTTTTAACAGGGAGGGTAATTAACCATTGGAGCTATTTACCAAGGGTCATGGTGGATTCTCCATCACTGACACTATTTAAATCAAGATTGGATGTTTTTACTAAAAGACCTGCTCTAGTTCAAACAGCAGTTATTTCAGGGAAGTTCTCTGGCTGTGTCGTACAGGAGGCCAGACTGTGTAATCACCGTGGCCCCTTCTATGAATTTCCATTTGTAACCCATCTCCTTAGCAAGTTCCGCTGGGCTGCAGTTCATAAGAGATCCAGAATCTGACTTGGGGGATGGGGGTTCCTGGGTTTGTATGAGCCAGAAGCTCACACAGGAAAAAGGTTTGAAATCTAAGAGAGTGTAAATGTCAAGGAGTCCAGGACGAATTACCCAGAGTGTGAAAGGGGCCCAGGAGGGGGTTAGGATGAGAAGTGATGGGGAAAGGAAAGAAGGGAACATGTGGATCATCCCCAAGGGGTGGAAGCCCCCCGTACTGCAACATTAAAAAGAAGCCGGCACCAAGCCAGGGGAACTGACTGTGCCCTTGGTTCTCACAGCTCCCGCAGGAGCCATGCTGCCAGGGGCTCCACGCAGCCCCACATCACAGAGGGGTGAGTAGCACAAAGGGCTGGGGAGGGCGAGGCAAGAAATTGTTGGAGGCTGGATGAGCACTGAATGGGCAGGGTCTTGTGGAAAAAACAGTCTGTGATCATGTAATTAATGAGTGTCTCATGGTGTCTTCGCACAAGAGGGATGAATGAAAGTAGCACAAGCAGCCTTAATTCTGTCATTTACTAATTTCTGAGTGCTCGACATTGCAACCTGAATTGCATTTTTAACATAGGGCGTTTGTGTTTTAATGTCATTTCTTAAGTTTTTAAAAAAGTAAATGGAATAAACAGAAATTCCATCATGCAGAACCACGCTGTCGCCAGTATAAGTAGCCATCGGGGCTAGAACTTTTAGACCCTCCAGCACTCAAGCTAATAGAATAACCGGAAGCAGTAGAAGGCTTGCCGGGGGATGAGACACATGCTTTGTCAGTAGGTTTCACAACTACTGGCTGACACCAGAGGACTGTTGGGACTCAGGAATGTTGGGTTTGATTCCAAGTTCTGGAGAGGAGTGCGCTCTAGTGGTTATAACCTTTCTGCCCATGCTCCCTGCCCTTGCCTCCTCATCTGCTCCTATTCCTGCTCCTAGCCCCCGTTCCTTATCCCTCTGCCTTAAAGAGAAGCTGCTTCTTCCTTCATCTCCATGCTGCCAGGGCACCAGCTGGAGCAGCAACTTGAAGAGCACTGAGAGATGGTCTGTCTTACTTCTTTCAGTTTCAGTGGATCAGCAGCTTCCAGCAGCCTGGAGGACCAATTGCACATAAAGTCTGGCTGCAGCCCTAGAAAGGAGCATGCTCAGTCACTCTGGGGGGATGGCACATGTGCAGTTAGGGTGACCAGATGTCCTGATTTTAGTGCAGTCCACTCATACCAAGGAGGCGTGGGGGGCTGGAGCATGCTCAGTGTGGACGGAATATTTGGGAAATGTAGCTGCCAAACTCTAAGAAACCATTAGTGAACATGTGCTTACTGTATTTGTCAGGGGCTTATCACTTGGCTGATTTTCATCGGGATGGCAAAAGGCACCTCGCTGACCTTAGGGCAACTCCCCTTACCAAATTTCAAGTTCAAAGCACAGAGGCCCTGGACCTTCTCAATGAAACAGTTGTAAGGATTTTTTAACATGGACAAACTGATGTATTAGTCCCTAATCTTATTCTTGGAAATGGCTGAACATTTTTTTGCGGAACTGTTCCAGAATAACTCCTCCCGAGGCATATGCCCAGCATGGAAAACTTTAGCCAGAAAGGTCACATTTTGGAACAGTTAGAAGGAACTGAAAATAGGGTCTTCTTACGGAGAGCGTCAGGCAACTTCAACTGTAGGTGGCACTACCAACTTCTCCTATAATGAGAGTCATGTGGCCAAATCCCAGTTCATTGCCTATCACATGGAGAACTTCTCCCTTGGTCTTTTAGGGCTGAGAAAAGAGGAATTTATCCCTATGAACAGCAATTGGGGGGAAAAATAAGGCCAAACATTTTGAGTCTGTTGCTTAAAGTTAAGCACCTAAAGAAGTGGCCGGGTTCTCAGAGGAGGAGCCCCAGCAGTGGCCACTGACTCCAATGGGGCCAAGTGTGGAAGGCGGTGGGTAAAAGCCACACTCAGTGAGCTCTCTTCCTTGCCTTGTGACAGGTTGTCACATCCCACGGAGCCATCCAGAGGCAGCACTGCCTTTGTGGTGAATGGAGTTAAGAGGTAGATGGGTACGGTGGAGTGTGCCCCTAGAGAGAACAATAGCTGAGAGCTGTCATATCCCAGCGGTTCTCTGCTGCTGCTGTAGAGTGTGCAACCTCTACAGGACAATTTTTTCCACCTGATTGTACCTAAAAAGGGGAACAACCTGCTAAACTGCCCCCATCCCAAAACAGGATGTCGGGATAAACCTTCCTTCCACTCACCACTGTCTCTCATCCTTCCGACTTCTACTGCCGTGGGTTTGACCCAGGTACCAGTGGACTCCCAGTTGGAGACACACTGGCATAAATAGACCAGCTAACAGACATGCAGAATACTGTTCAATTGTATTGCTATGTTCCTATGCTGCACTCATCCCTGCGGGATCTGGGATCATGCAACACTAGAGCCGTGGCTTTCATAGCATAAAGCACAACTCATTTTCCCACAGGGAGATGAAATAAATGAAAGAAGAAGGAGACAACAAGGGAGCAGATGTTTCCATTTGGTTTTAGTCCAGGACTTTAATCACTACAGAGACATATACTCCCTGCTCCCATCCCCACCCCAGACAGCAGAGCCGGAGACAGCCAGATGTTGCCATCACAAAGAATGTTCCTTTGGCCAGAAATGGCTCATACTCAGGGCTGCATAGCTCTGCCAGTTAGGAGTGAGATTTTTTGCTGATATCATTATGCTGGTAAAAGCTCTCTTGTAGATGCACTTATTCCAGGATAATGGTGCTTATACCAGGATAGCTTAGGCCAGATCTACACTACACAGTTTTGGTGTCATAGCTATGTTGGTTAGGAGTTCGAAAAAATCACCCCCAACAGACAGGGCAAACCCCCTCATTTCGATGCAATTTACCCCTAGAAAGCAGAGTTGTTTGCCAGTGCAGTGCATGGCATTCAGGGCAGTGGTTTAACTAGATCGGCAAAGGAACTCCACGGTTAGAGCTCAACTGACAACGCCGCTGTCAAGCAGACTAGCCCCCACTCCGGTTCCTCAGCTTCCATCAGTCCCCTGGCCTGAGCACTTCTACACCAGTATCATGGCGTCTGCACTAGAGGTGGGGCTTTGCTGCTTTCTCTAGGCTGGTATAGTTAAAGCAGCAACATTTGTAAGTGTAGACGAGGCCACAGTCTCACGTACCGAGTGACTTTTATAGACAGAGTTTCAGCCAAATGGTGACTAGCTATTTTTGAGTATACCAGTGGGCAAAGGTCCTGGCCAAATGCTCCTCTTCCGTCTGCTTATCTGAGTGGAGGAGGGGGCCCAGTTGGGGGCTGGCGAGTGGGGGGGAGGTTTGGTTTGAAGTCTGCAGCATGATTCCTTCCTCCCCCACTTCCCCATGGTTGCCACTTAATGCTCAAAATGCAGGAAGAGTAAAGAGCTGCCTGGGGCAACTGCAATGATTTAGCAAACCTAGTGCATCTGCTCCTTTGTCTGCAGCACAGACCCATCGATTCCATTGACATCCCAGTTTGGGCAACTGAATGTGCATGCAATTCCCATCAGGCTTGTCGCTGCAGCCCTAGAAAACAATCCTGCAACATGCAATGCAAATCCCACTCCAGTCCCCTCTCTGCCTTGAATGGGAGTGCTGGACAACAGGACATGGCCCATTACCATCCGTGAGGCTGGCTGGCTAAAGCAAAGACTGATATGCCTACCTTGGTGTCTTCTGTGTCTGACTGAGTGCTCGTTTCTTCATCATAGAGGTCGGACTCCTCAGAGGCAATTGGCACTTGGACAGTCAGGTTGGGGTTGTTAATGAAATTCATGTGGTCCAGCTCATCCACAAACAACTGCTCTTTCCCAGCTACTCCATCCATATACTCCGACTTGGAATCCTGGCCTGAATCCATGTGGTTTAGCACATAGTTGTCTTTCTTATTATCCTCTTGTTCCTCGGCTGGCTCTCTCTTCTCCTTCCACCGCAGGTGAAGTAGCATGAGGACAGTTCTCTTTACAAAGTCAATCGCCCTGGTGATCCTGCCAATAGCAATCTGCAAATTGTTCATCTCGCCATCATCATCAGAAGCCGCAAGGCTATCGGCGCTGAAGGAGCTCAGCAGCAAAGCTAAGAAAAGGTTCAGGACCTGGAGGGGACAAAAGCAAACACCAGGTTTAGTGTCAGACATGAGCACAGTCCTAGGGTCTAGATCAGGCGGGGATCTCAATATTTTCCATGGTGTGGACCACGCCTTACTAAGACAAAATCTCATATGGACACCACCCTCCCGTTTGTGACTGTGTGGACTTGACCCTCCCATCCACAATTGCCTGTGGCCCTGACAGCAATTGCTCCCCTCTGGAGGAGTCGCAGTAGGAAAGTGCGGATCCATTTGTAAGGGAAGGTCTTCGCTGCTTGGTTGACCCAGGTGATCAGCACCCAGGTCTGAGCACCCGGTGAGCCTCGCCCAAGAGTGAGCATCCCGGCTGCAAAGTGACGTGCCCTTCCTTGGCTGAGGCACCCTGGAGTCTTTCCCATGCAGGTGCCCATTGTGGGAGAACTCGTCTGTCCTGAGGGAGGGGGGGATTGTGAGAAGATAGCGCACTATTTTCCCGTGTCCTCACCGCAAAGCGGGTGGGTTCCAGCTTGAGTTAAAGCAGAGCCCAGGTTAACTGCACTGTGCAGATATAGCTTCAGTATCTGTAATGCAACACAGTGTGGTGTTGCTTCTGTAAAAAGGTCTGTCACCCCATCACCTCCTCGTGTTCTGTGCTGCTATTTCGTCTCCATCCCCAATCTCCCCTGCCTGGTCTGTTCCCAGAGCTGGTGCCCTTCTTCCCATGTTCCCCTGGACATGCTGCCCAGCTGCCTCATTCCTTCCTCCCCTGCTGGTGGCCCCCATTTCTCCTTCTCGGTTCCATCTGCCTTTCCAGCCCCACAGGCTCTCCTCTGCAGTGAAGAGCCTGAGAGCTGTAGAAGCAACTGGAGATGAAGGGAGAAGAACCAGCACCATGTGACCAGACAGCTCTCCACAGACCACTGGCTCCATGTGTAACACCAACAGACCCCGGTCATCATCGGGCGGGATCGAATCTGGGACCTCTGGAGCTTAGTGCATGAGCCTCTACAGCATGAGCTAAAAGGCAACTGCCTCTTAGCTAAGGCTGCAGAGCAAACTCATTAATCTCTCTAAGTGATCTTGGTGCCACCAGATGGGATAGAACACCACACCCAGGAGCTGTGTGGGTTACACTGGCACCACACTTTGGCTCCCTCCTGAGCCAGCAGAAGTAACATAGGCCCTGAGTCAACCAGGCCCTGAGTCAAGCATGTGTCTGACATTCAGTATGTGAGTGGTTCACTACTCTACTAGAACTATTCACAGAGTTGTAGCAGGGTCACCAACTCTCACGATTTTATCGTGTTTCTCACGATATTTGGTGGTTTTTTGTAAATCCCAGCTCCTGGATCACGTGATTACATGGGAATCTTGGCTTTTATTTCAATGAAAGTGAGCTTCTAGCCCTCATAGCTACAGAGAAAAGCTTCAAAATGTGGCCCGGGTGCCTCCACTGAGCATTTTTCACCCCATCAATGAGGACTAACAACTTACTTTTCATTTTTTGTTTGCAATGTTGTTGTAGCTGTGTTGGCCCCAGGATATGAGAGACACAAGTTGGGCGAGGCAATACCTTTTATTGGACCAGCTTCTGCTGGTGAGAGAGACAAGCTTTTGAGCTGCACAGAGCTCTTCTTTGCTGTCTCTTTCACCAACAGAAGTTGATCCAATTAAAGATATTACAGCACTCACCTTGTATCTCTTTTAATTTTTTGTAATACAAGCTGAGATTCTTGTGGACTCACGTGACTCCAGAAGCTGGAGCTTACAAAACCAAAACCAATAGCGTGAGACTCATGATAACTCAACTCGGGAGAGTTGGTAATGCCGCAGTGCTCAAGGACCGCCCTGGGTCATCCATGGGAGACTGAAAGTGTGAGAGTTTTCAAAACAGGCAAGTGTTGCATTAACCTTTTGGTACAAAGAGGCTTTTCCTTGCACTGGGCACAGAACCATCCAATTCATGCATTCATCTGTTTCTTTATGGATCTGCACTACAGGCAATCCCTAGCATTCAAAAATCCTGAGTTAACCTAATGGGAGCAAGCTCCATGACTTCCCACCATCCTTGTCTTGACTCATCACCTTGGGTGGAGCTTTGGGGGCTGAGGAGCTGTGCCCCAGGCCCTAATCTACTGGTGATTGCTCCCCTCTGCACTGCGCAGTAGTGAAGAGCATGGGGCCCTGCGCACGGACCCTCTCATGGGATGCCCTGCCTCAGTCCCATATTGCACTGGCTGCATTCCCACCATTGTCTTCGCTCCAGAGGACGCCCCATTGCACAAAGAGCTAATTGGTCCAACCACAGCTTTTGCCCCAGTATCCAGCGACTCTGACCCTCCCCAGAGAAAGGCTAGCCTCGCTGCGCAATGGGAGCCGCTGGTGCTTTACAGGGTACAGCAGCATCGCCCAGAACGTGAAATGCATTTGCTGTGAAAAACTGACCCCTCCAGTCCAGCCCCCACAGCTGTTGATGTTTGTGCCTCCCGGTGCCAGGAGCACATTTGAGAAGGGAATTAGCTGCTATTCAAGGTCACTGCTGTTTTCGCATGGCTCATGCCATATGACTTAAACAGAGTCTTTAAATAAATCCCGGGGACCACACCAGTTTAATACTCACGTTAAGTACCAATTACAGCTAATCATTTCTGTTGCTGTTGTCTCCGGAGTGTTTCGGCAGGAGTTGATTACCTTGTCACCTGAGTGACTTCCTCCCTTCCCCCTTTAATAATGCCAAAGGAAATGCCCAAAGTGTCATTACTAGTAAAGGGCAATGGCATTATCTGGGGGGAGGGCTCCATAAATATACATCACTGTAGCCAGAATTCTTAGGCCATCACCTGGTTTATGCTCCAGGACCTGAAACACAGTACTGGGCTGGTTTCCCTACGCAGAGAGGGCATGGAAGCGGGTCCAGGCTGCTCCCCTTTACCTGGGACTCTGCAGAAGTGTCTGCTCGAGCTCGGTGGCCTGTTGTGGGTCTTAAGCGTGGAGCAGCCACCCTCTGAGGCTTGGTCTCCCACGGGAAATCAGGTTGGTTGCTAGTGGGGCTTAGGGTGACCAGATGTCCCGATTTTATACGGACAGTCCCGATTTGGGGGGCTTTTTCTTATATAGCCACCTATTACCCCCTCACCCTCATCTCGATTTTTTACACTTGCTATCTGCTCACCTTATGGGGCTTCAGTGTGAGCACTCTGCAACCTGGGGAAGGGGCACTCTGCCCCCGCTCCATGCAGTAATAAGTCACAAACCAGTGAATCGAAATTCAGGATTCAGGAAAATTCAGGAAAAGCCATGACTTTGCAGCCCCTCCCCTGCCTCCAGCACTGCCCTCTGCAGCGTCAGCACCCAGGCCTGATGGTGCTTGTTATGCATCTCACACCCTGTCTCGCACTGATCCACCGGCCAGCTCTGGGGCTGTGCCTGGCATGGAACCTGAGCTGTGACTTTCCATCCTGGAGGTGAGCTCAGCCACACTGACAGATCCCGGAGCTGCCCAACCCCACTGGCCTCCAGGGCCTTCTGCCCTCTTATACCAGGGCTGAATTTGGCCCCTGGGGAGCTGTGGAGGTCCCAGGATGGCAGGAACATCTTTAGTGATGCCCACAAAGTGCCGTGACGCAGAAGGAGATGCAGTCAGCTCTCTCCTAGATAGTTTTCAAAGTGAATTCCAATAGGCTTACACAATTCTGAGAAGTAATAGAAGCAACTAGACAAGCCACCAGGATGCCTGCTGCCACGTTGCTCCTTTGGAGGAGAGAACAGGACCCATGCAGCCAGGAAAATCACTTTCAAAGCCAGCGGGTAGAAGGGGACCAAGGTTAGAAAGGATTTCACACTTCCCTGGAACTTAGGGGTTACGTGTGCAATTCAGGAGTGGTATCAGGGCAGTGAGCAGCTCGGTCATCGAGGGAGGTAAACAGGGGGGCGGAGGAGATGCAGCCTCCGGCTGCACGGCTCCCGTGTGGAAATCCAACAGAAAGGGGCGCTGTGGAGAGGAGGAGAATGAGGGGAAATACAGGGTGTATTGGGGAGGTGTCAGGATTTGTCATGTGGATGAGGGTGGGAAGGAGAGCAGGTGACATTTCTGTGCTAATCGTTTTTTTACCAAAAAATGCAATTTTAAGTTGAATTCAGTGACTAGTTTCAGCCAAAACAAAATGGAAAAACCTGTAAATGTCCAAACGAAACATTTCAACATGTCACTTCGGAAAGCCGTTTCGTTTCAGTGTTGACCTACATTTTGTTTAAAAAATATCGCAAACATTTCAAACCCTTTGAAAATTAAATGAAATGATTCATTTGACCCCAGAGTAAATCATTTGGGGTTTTGCTGGCTCATGGTTGCGTCCGTTGATAAAATGGGACCAAAGGGAGAGCAATGGATACTGGGTTAGATGGACCTTTGGTCTGACCCAGTATGGCCATTCTTATGTTCCTATGTTCTTATCTGAAATCCATGTAAGGAAGACGCCTGAGCCATCAAACACTCGCTCTCGGCTCCTCACTCTCTAGCTGCCCAGCCACCAGTTAGTATTGTTATTAGGATAAACATATCCAAGGCGCCATCCCTACAGGATCTGTGCCCCATTACAAACGTACAGAAGTACAACAGTCCTGCATCACTTATCTTACAGTAGCCCATACAGGCGCCAGCTGAGGTTTAGGCCCATTGCGCTAGCTGCTGTACAAACACAGTCCCTGCTTTGAAGAGCTTACAATTCAAACAAAGAGAGGGAAAGCTAAGGCACAGGGAGACAGGACTTGCCAACGTCCCAGATCTAAACTTAACCCAAAGACTCTCAACAGGCTTTTCTCCAGTTTCATACTGGAGCTCTGAGCAATCATACTTCTCTTACATATAAACAAGCTTATGTTTGGGAAATCATACCTTTTCCACGGTTACCTTACGTGGCATATCTGGTATAAGAGTCATTGCAATTTGGTATTGATAATATTATAAATGGTCGCCCATATTCCATACAGCATCACCATCCCCCCTGAGGCACTAGATACCTTTGCAATGAGCAGGTCCTTCCCTGCCTTCCATTCCCTCCGCTCTTGAGCTGGGCGAGTTCCAGCTTTTCTCGCTTACTGGGCGAACGGAAATGGTTTTTTTTAAAAGGCATTCTGGATCAAACCAAAATGATACATTTTTGGTTTTTCGGGCTGAAACAAAACTCACCACGAGGTTCCCGATGACCATGACCATCAAGAAGACAATGAGGCACATGGGCTGGCCAGCCACCTGCATACAGTCCCACATGGTCTCGATCCACTCCCCGCACAGGATGCGGAAGATGATGAGGAAGGCGTGGAAGAAGTCGTGCATGTGCCAGCGGGGCAGCGTGCAGTCCAGAGAGATCTTGCACACGCACTCCTTATAGCTCTTCCCAAACAGCTGCATGCCCACCACGGCAAAGATGAAGACGATGATGGCCAGTACCAGGGTGAGGTTTCCTAGAGCCCCCACGGAGTTGCCGATGATCTTTATGAGCATGCTGAGGGTCGGCCAGGACTTGGCAAGCTTGAAAACTCTCAACTGCAAGGAGGTGGAAACAGAAACCTTGATTGGCCTGTGGAACTCATTGCCACAAGATATCACTGACATCAAGAGGATGCAGGATTCTGAGTGACAGCATTCAGATAGTATGCAGAGTGACAGTGGTAAATACTAAAAACACAAGTGTTTTGGAAGGGGTACAAAGCCTCCAGCTTCCACGCCTAACCCAACCTCTAACCACTGTGGGTTAGGAGGAAACTGTCATGGGGCAGATAGCTAACTACCTCCTGCATGGCTTCCTGCATCTTTCGCTGTAGCATCTGGTGCTGGCCTCTGACAGAGACAGGACACTGGTCTGGACGGACCTCGGGTCTGATCCAGCCAGCCTGGCTGTTCCTATATTAGCTCAGAGGGAATGCAGATGTCCCTGTGAGTTTAGCTCAGGGCCGGCTTCAGGCACCAGCTTAACAAGCAGGCGCTTGGGGCGGCCAAGGGAGAGGGGCGGCACCTGCGGCAATTCGGGGGCGGCAGGTCCCTCACTCCCTCTAGGAGCGAAGGACCTGCCGCTGAACTGCCGCTGCCGATCGCGGCTTTTTTTTCTTATTGCCGCCGCCGATCGCAATTTTTTTTGTTTTTTTTGTTTGGGGCGGCAGAAATGCTGGAGCCGGCCCTGGTTTAGCTACTGCCCCAATAAGGCGAGGGGAGCTGCTGTTGCCATTTCATCTAAAATGGACAGTACAGACATGCCTTCCTCGCACCCGCCATGCTAACAGCTCCGCCAGGGCACACGGAACGTTCAACCTGGGCTGCATCAGCCTGATCTTTGAACCCAACGTGATTCAGTGACCGTCACCGCCCGGGAGTTAGAAATGACCCTTCTCTGGGTATGGCACTTGCCATGAAGCCCCTCAGCACAGCAGAGCCACAGGGCAACCTACCAGGCGGAAGGATCGGAGCACAGAGAGCCCCTGCACATTGGCCAGGCCCAGCTCCACCAAGCTCAGGGTGACAATGATGCTGTCAAATATGTTCCACCCCTGCTGGAAGTAGTCGTAGGGATCCAGGGCTATGAGCTTTAGCACCATCTCCGCAGTGAAGATCCCAGTGAAGACCTTTGAAAACAGACCCCGTTAGTGCTCATCACACAATCTGCACATCACAGTGCCCCGAGGGAGGGGGATGGGCCCAGGGGGGATCTAGCACCAGAGCCCACCCCGGCTTAGAAAGCAGCAGTGGGCAGCCGACTGAGATCATGCCACGGCACCAGAGGGCCTGATCCAAAGCCTACGGAGTCTGCGCTGCTGCCAATGGACCCTGGCTTGGGGCCATAATGCAGTGCACCCTGGCCCCCGGTGCTGACCACCCATCACATGAACATTCAGTGCCTTTCCTTTCAGGGCATATGATCAAAGCTACAGGTGCTGCCGCAGCTCCCCCTGACTTTGTTTGTGTAAAAGTACGGGCTCAGGGCCATCTCCTGCATCGCCTCCAGGCTGGTTTCAGGGTGTGCTGGACAAGGCAGGACTGGGCCAGCCATCGCCCACCCCGTCCCCAGTTATGATAGGGATCACAGGGCTCGCCATAGGGCTCGGCCTCACACATGGGTGGAAAAGCAGGTTTACGTTTTAGCACGTCTGAGGGCATAGAAACAGCACAGATCCAGAAGAGGGAGGCTCCATCCTGCGACAGCCCCTCGGCCCTTACCCAACCTGGGAACAATTCCCCCCATGCGGACACTGTGTAAGACCGCCATCGGTCCCTGGCAGTGGGGGCGGGCCAGTGGCAGGGCCAGAGCACACAGCGCTGTGGGGATTCTGAGCAATGGCAGAGCTCCTCCGAGGCAGCCCAGGCAGGGCGGAGGTAACTTACAGCAGAGCTCCAGGGGCTAGTTACATTGGGGGCCGGTCACTCCCAGAGCAGCCCAGGGTTAAAGAGCTGCAAGTTTGGTGCTGTGCCTCTGAGAGTCTGTCTGCCCTGCTGTTGGGCGGTGCGACGGTAACATGCATCAACATATCCGAGCCAGCTTTGCTCTAGCTTTGCCAGGGGCTGTTGTGAAGGACCAAAGTGTAACTGAGTTAAAAAAAGAACTAGGTAAGTTCCTGGAGGATAGGCACAACAATGGCTATTAGCCAGGATGGGCAGGGATGCAAACCCACGCTCTGGAGTCCCTAACCTCTGACTGCCAGACCCTGGGAGTGCATGTCAGCAGATGGATCACTTATAATTGCCCTGTTCTGTTCACTCCCTCTGAAGCATCTGCCTCTGTCTACTGTCGGCAGACAGGATACTGGGCTAGATGGACCATTGGTCTGGGCCAGTGTGGCCATTTGTATCTTCTCTAGCTAGATGAAAGCTACCTTAGGTAATAATAGCAGTGAAGCTGTGGCAGCATGGAGGGTGGCGTGGGCTACCCCTGCTCACCCAGGACCCTGGGTACAGAGTGGAGCAGCCACTGCCCATGCTGCTGCAGCTGCACTGCTATTGTCACTCAGACAAAGCTAGCTCGGCTATGTCTCCACACTGTGCATCACACCCCGAGTGCAGTGTAGACATGCCCTAACGGCAGAGCATAAAATGGCACACACCAGGCATGACAGCACAGGAAAAGTAAAACTAAAGCAGATAGTCCAAGAGCCTCAGGAGACGCAGAGCCCTGGAATTCTCTTCCTGGGAGCCCAGAGAGGCCGAGTGCACTGGAGTTCTTTTGCTGGAAGCCGTGTGGGAGTGCGACGGGCTCCAGGAGACCCCGAACGAAGGTAATGTCGCTGCTATGTGGCAGCTCTGGGCTGACTGGGAACGGGAGAAAGAGCACTATTGTGTGTGAGCCCCGGGTGAACGCTTTCGCCACCAATTGCCTTCAGAAATACTTGGCATGCAGGGATGTTGTCACAACAAAATAAAATCCAGTTGACCAAGTAGCACCCTCAAGTTACTTTCAACTCAGGAGGAAACCCAGGGGTCCTGTCCAGCGCTCTGCCTCTGTCACTCCTCCTGAGGTCGGCTGCTGGGTAAAGCGATCTGGCTTTTACACATTACTGTCTTATTGGGACTATAACGATGCTCTGCATTATCGCATTACCTCAGTACAGTAGCAATTATGTGACAATTAGCCACCTACTACAAGTGTTTGCATTTCATGGCCCCGAGTTCTGGGTGTGCAGAGCTGGGCTGATGGTAGGTTGCACACACGACACGTGTTCAGCTCAGCAATGCTTATTTTGCGGACTTTAGTTTCCATTTGTATTTGACTCCTGCTGGACTTCATCTCCTCACCGGCCAGACTGATTATAATCATATTGTCTCGTCGAGCCACAGGGTGCTGGGCCAGATGCAGGAATTCCTGGGTGAAATCCGCTGGTCTGTGCTAGGCAGGAGGTCAGACAAGATGATCATGCGAGCCCAACGAGAAGGTCTCTTCATCCTAACTCCCTTACCTCTCTCTCCCACAAGGTTTTCTTCGGAGATTCTGCCTGGGCTCAGTCCAAAAGGGAGTTTGCTGGGAAGGGGAGGGAGAGTGGCTCTTGTGGAATCCATTCGGCTGCTTTCTGAGCTGGAGACGAACACTTTCCCTTACAGTTCTGACTGAGTTTGGCACTCAAATGGCAGCAAGCGTTACCGTCACCATGGGCCAGATTTTCAAAAGAATTCTGTGCCCCAGTGTGCTGAGCTCTGGCAAATCTAGTCACTGATTTTGGTGCCCAAACTGTAACTGAGCTCTGAGAATCCGGCTGCATGAGGCTGGGTCTCAGGGAGAAGCTATCTCTGACACGTTTAAATCGGCGAACCCGTCTCTGAAGGGCTAGTAAGCTAGCTGGCCTTTCCGCTCATGCTCAGTACCCGGTTTCCCCCTCATCCCAAGTGTCTACAGCTGCTCCTCCTCATCCCAAGTGTCTACAGCAGGAAGAGGTTTTATTCCAACTCTCCAACTTTTAGTCATGACCCACAAAGTCACGTCTGTGCCCTGAGTCTAGGCACACGTTGTATGTACCTCCCGTGGGCAATCCACCAGCGGGCGGGAGCACTGGCTTCATGCCATGCTCCCCCACCTCGGAATCCATGGACCATCCTTCACTGGAGTTCCATAGGGTCTGGGGGGAGCAGGATGGGAGGGGAGAGAGTGAGGAGCAGCTGGGGTCCCTGGCAGGCTTCTCGTCTGACCCTGCTTTGGTCTGGAGCAGGATCACATCCTGCTCTGCTGCTGCAGGCAAGCGGTTTGCAAATGTGCTGAGGTCTTATCCTTGGGAGAATGGTTTGAATCACTGGGCTCCCACGGCACGAATGACACGCACGAGGTGGCAGGCAGGGGGCAAGGCCGAGTGGGTGCTTGGCAGCAGCAATATGGATGCTTAGGCCATTGGGGAGCATGCTCACTCTCTCTGCATGCACAGCCCTGCCTGGGGAAGGCACTGGCAGAGCTCTCTGCCTCCGCCACCCCCCGCTGTCCTCCTGGATTTAAACTCTGCAGGAGGATTGTAAATAGACTAAAGGAAAAGCCAGAGCTGGTTTTGTGGATAGACTGTGCTAAACCCAATAGTCTATTAATCCCCTTGTATTTCCTGAATGAAATCAGATACAAAGCCGGTATGTGACTAGCGTCATTATGCCTAGGGCCGCTGGCCCCCACTCTGTGTCCGTTCAGCAGCTATGCACAGAGGCTCTGGGAGTGAGACTAGCCTAGCCATGTGAGGGAAGGTGGAGAAGGTTGGGGCCTGCTTTATGTTCCAATGCAAAGGGAAATGGAGTGAAGTCATAACATACTGGGTCCCCTGCATGGAGGGAGAGCCAGGGACAGAGAGTGCCTGGACACGCACAGTCTGCTCTGGGGGGTGAGATGGCAAGGGTTGTGCACACAAAGGGAAACAGGTAGATATTGACCCCAGTTCCCTTCGGCTCCCCCCCGTCTTACGGCAAGGTGACAACAAGAATTGCTGGGTGCTTGCCTCTCTGACATGTAGCACCTAATGCAGGCCTGCTCTGCTCACACTGAAAGCCACGGGGCAGGGAGGGAGAGCTAATGCAGGCTTTGCAGTGACACACGTACAGGATATGGCTACCTTGCAATGAAGGGGTGACTGCGGCATGCATAGCCCAATAGCAGTGAAGCCGCGGCAGCACAGGCCTTAGTGCGGGCAAGCTGCCCAGGGTCTGGGCTGGGCTCGTATCAGATCTAGCTCAGGCCTGTCTGCCTGTCCTGCCCTCCCACCCCAAATGCCGTGTAGCCAGACCCAGCATCGCACTCACACAGCGCTGGCTTCTCATCTCTTTGCCGTTTTGGGACGGTCTCTTCCCCACTCTCGACGCCCAGATGACGTTTCCTTCGGCCCAGGGATCAGAGCCCCCTGGCTGTACCACTCAGCTCTGCCCCATTCTCTCAGGCACCTGGCCGTCTCTCGCCTTCGGCATCAAGCTCACAACCTTCTTGGCCAGCACAGCGCAGTCTTCTTCCATCTCTGCTACACCTGCTCCTGCTCCCCTTTATCCAACGCCAGCCTCCTGTCTCACCGCTCCTTCTTCCTCCTCCTGCCTGGTGCTCCCTTCCCCTCCTGTTGCCTGGACCTGGCAGTTCCCAAGGAGTCTGCCCTTACAGTCACACTTGGACGCTGTTCTCGCCGCCCTGCCCCTCAGTTCTGAATCGATTTCCGGGGCTGCTGTCTTGAGCCCTGCATGAGCTGGGAGCTGCGCTGTGCTGCGCCCTGCCCAGAGAGCCAGAAGTCCAGCTTCCAGGCTGTTTATTGAGGCTGCAGCATTTCCAAAAGTGGCCTCCAATCTGTCTGCCTAGAACCGGATTCTCCAAAGAACGGCACACACAGACCCCAGGGCATTTGTGGGGCTGCGGGCACTCAGCGCCTCCGAGCATCACGCCAATTGGTCTCAAGGCAGGCTCCCAGAAACAGTGGTATGTGTGCCTGACAGCTCCCCCTCTGTGCCTGATCCACAGAGGAAATGAGCCTGTTACAGCCCAGCTCTTTAGCGCCAGCTGGGACAGCTCTTGAGGTCCCCAGTTTGTCTGGGTTTGCTAAGACAAACAATGGGCTGTAACAGACTGACCTGCTCTGCAGATCGGGCGCAGAGGGGCACCGGTACCACACCCTCACGAGTGGGCTGCAGGGCCACCAGGATCAGTAGCTCCCTTTAAAATGATGGGCCTTCCCTGGCCTCTTGAGGAGTTTGTGAGAACATGGGTGGGTGAAACATGCATCCTCCGCTGTATGGCAACATTTTAACCTGGGGTGTTCAGGGGAGCCAAGGGGAGTTAGCAATTTGATGGGGGCTGGGGCCATGCCCCAGTGAAATTCCCAGGCAGGATGGCAATTGTGTGGCACGTTCCAGTGGTCTGTGAAGAGCTACAGGAATGTTAACATTTGCCCCTCAGCAGGGCCCCCCCTATACCCAGCAAAGTGCCTTGGAGTCTCCTGCTTCTGCTGACAGCTAAGAGGATCCCGTGTCCAGATGCAAGAGTTCAAATGGCCCTGTGCAGCCCAGCGAGGAGAAAATACCCGATTCAGAAGACACAAGGGAATGAAATCATCATTTTGCCCCCCTGGGCCATGGGGACACCTCGCAACATGTAAACAGAAGCTGCTTGGGCTGAGACTCTGGCTTTGCTGGGGAGGAGATCACAGCTAGGCAACAAATACGGAGTCTTCTCAGGCTTGGGATTACCAGGGAGCCAACAGGAGTTAGGTGCTTACTTCACAGATTCCAGTGGGATTTGGGTGCCTATCTCCTTTCGACTCCTTGGAAAATCCCACCTGCACAGCCACGTGAACACCCAGCCAGGTAACGAGCAAGGCCGGTGTCTGGCAAATCCTGGATGTCAGGGCAGAGAACAGGCTGGCAGGACCAGTCTTCAGGGCTGTGCCTTGATGGACAGCCTGGCTGTCTGGGGTCTCATCTTCACTTGGAATTGCCCACGCTGGCAGTGGTCTTTTTGACCAGGCTCCCTACAGTGGGCTGGGACCCGTCCACAGGGCTGTGATGCACAGTTGCATCAAGGCTGACAAGGAGGTGTCAGGCCACATGAGCTTCTTCAGGGAAGCTCCAGCAGGAGAAACGGGTGGCCCCTGGTCCCCTTCTGCCTCTCGTGGTAGCTTTCCTTGAGTTGGTGCAGTCATGCTGCAATCCAACCCTGCTCAGCACCGTCCCTGCAGTACGGCAGGGGGTTGTCCACACGCCCGCAGTCACTGCTCATAGGTCCCTCGCCGAGCTCTGGAGCAGAGCTGTAAAGGGTGATCAATGGAAAAATCAAAGCCAGGCAATTTCCTACCAGGTTCCCCACAGTTAGCACGTTCTCAAACTCTTCGGTCATCGGGTAGTGCTCCATGGCCATGAACAGCGTGTTGAGAACAATGCAGATTGTGATCCCCAGGTCGACAAACGGGTCCATCACGATCAGCCGTACAAACGCCTTCAGCTTCAGCCAGAGAGGGCAGCAGTCCCAGACCAGGAATGTATGGGCGAATTTATACCACCAGGGCGGACATTTCTGGTGAGCTTCCTCTAGCTCTGAAAACAAGAGACAAAGACCCCGTGTCATTGCCCAGGCGCCTCCAGAGAAGAGTCACATGCTAAGTCAACAGATGGGAGCTTGGCTGAGGATTCTTGATCCAGCCTAGCGGTGGCAACAAGACTAGTGCATTGGGACATTGGGCATAGAGTGGGTGCAAAAGGGTGCCAAACTCTTTGTTATGGTTGTGCAAAGGACTGTTTGGGGCACACAGATGTGGTAGGCGTCATGAAGGTGTAACAGAAACACAGGCGTCTGTGGGACACAGGCATTATCTTCGTCCTCGAGAATGTGTTCATTAGGCTGTATGCAAACCCACTGGCAGACACCTATCTGCTCCTGTCCAGGATGTGACGTTTCCCACCGCAGCACAGGAAAACAACTTGGTGGAGAAAAGTGTCTGAACCCAGCTTGGCTGGGCTGACATTCAAAAATGCAGCTGATCTAAGCTGGGGCTTTCAAATGAGCCGAGAGTTCAGTACCCGAATCCCACTGAACTGGTTATTTATATATTTATTTGTATTACCGTAGCAACCAGGAGCTCCACTCCTGGCCCTGAACCCTATTGTGCTATGTGCTGAACAAACAGATGGTCCCTGCCCTAAGTGGCTTACAATCTGAGACAGCCACTGCGATTGAGTGCCTAACTCCCTTGGGCCTCTGAATAGCCCAGCCCCAATTATTGTTGAACAGCTGCATCTCTGATGAAACAGATCCAGGGGAAATGCAGCTGATCCACTAAATCAAAGAGGACTGGAAAGGGCAAGGAGTCAATGAATAAACTATTCCTGGTCTATCAGACCTTTCCTGCGCTTTGGATCTTGGCTATCTTAATGGGGGCCTGTCCCCCAGTGCATGTGGGGTCAGCTGGAATGCCCGAACTGACAGTGCCTATGCTGGATCAGCTTGCAGCTTTCATATTTGTGTTCACAGATGGGACTGGCTAAGGGCTGGCGTCGAAGAGACATGTTATAGCCAGGAGGATAAATCAGTGAATGAATAGAGTGTGCTTTTATTTAGGAAGTCACAGAATCACTCCTGGCTGCACTTGCTATAAAGACTGAATAGCAGCTCTGGCTGGGTCCATAACGCACACCGTTGCCGAGGAGTCTATGGGACATCTTACTCGAGTCAAGAAAAACGTTCCATGTGGGCCCGGCCGTGGAACCAGGTGGCCAGGAGCTAAGAGATGAATCTGGGGTTTGAAGTGATATTATGACTGTTTGCAATCTCGCTCTGCTCATTTTATCATCTCTTTGGAATCCTGCAGTGTGCCCACAACCTGATGAGCCCTGGCCACAGCCACCAAAATACACAGCCTCTGCCTCAAAGGCCTTGGGCAACAAGCACTGTTCACAGGGTATCAGCAGGGATTGAAAGCATGCTTTTCTGTGGAGAGCATGCACTACTGTCACCTAAGCTAAAGGAGCAACTTCTTGAGCAGCTACTTTGGGGGACCAGGCACTAGAGGAGACTGGACCTACATGGACCTACACTAAAAAGTCTTACAATCTAAGACAAGCAGCAGACAAAGGATGGGGAAGAGGGGAACAGCTTAGCATAGCTAGATTGGAGCTGGGACAGCACTGAATTGTGTTGATAGCAAACCTTGGGGGGGGGGGGAACCCCAGGGAGGGAGAATGTTGGCACAAGAACTAAGGGGGAGAAAACTGTCTGGGAATAAATTTAGCCTAGAAATTAGAAGAAGGTTTCTAACCATCCGAGGTGGGAGGGTCTGGCACAGCCCCCCCCCTCCAGTGGGCGCAGTGGGGGAAGCCAACCTCACTAGTTTTAAGATGGAGCTTGCTAAGTTTATGAACAGAACAATATGATGGGTTGCGGGCGATAGCGAGGGCCCGCACTCACTGACCCGACAGGTCCCTTCCAATCCTATGTTCCTATTCTCTGGTTTATATTAAGCGACATTGGTCCTGAAAATCCTTTTTGCTTCTCAGAGTCTTTATGGATTTGACATTGATTGTCAGCGTTACAGTCAATCCATACAGAGCTCTCTGTGGCACATGGGAGCGTGTCCTCAGCTTGGCATTTTCCAGCTGAACAGTACCCAGCACATCCCCTGCTTTATCAGGGTGGGAATCTACCTTCCATGGTGTTAGAGATCATGCTGACTGCGCTCTCTGCTCTCTGCTGGAGACCAGGCCCGTCTTGGCTGCCTGCTAGCACGTAATCAGGATCGGACTTGCCTTGCTCATCCACAGGACTTGGCTACAAAAAGGAGAGCAGGTCATAGTATGAGAACATGGGTCACAGCAGTCCGTTAAATGCACTTAGAGGGAGGGCAGCATAACAAATAACATGGGTCCTCGTGGCACAGCCTGGGCTGTACTAAAAGGAAGAACTAGGCAGGTAATAATCAGATGGGTCTGGGGCTACTGTGGGAAGCTCCTTAAACCAACAGATGACTCTATGGCTGCAGTAAAGGGAGGTCATTAGTCTCCTGAGGGATGTCCTAAGCTGAAAGCTGTATAAAAGGGAAGTGGTTGGAGGTGGGGACAGGACAGGGTCTTGGCTGGAGTGTTAGCACCAGATGTTCTGCTGGGCTGTAACAGTCCCTCACAGCCATTGCAGCAAGCAGAACAAGTTGGAGCAGCCCTCGGACTGTGGCTCCCTTCAGCCCCAGGACAGACAAGTCCAACCTCTCCCCACTTGGTCCCTCTGCTGGGCTCTGCAGCAGTGCAGAGACGAATCCAGCCCATCATGCACAGACAGCACCAGAGAGAGGAAACATAACCAGTATATACTTCCTCAACCGTCGCCAAGCGCTCCAGCATGACCCTGGGTATGACTCGCCCGTTGCAGTCTTTGGATTTGCCTTGGTTGTTAGCCGCAGCTGGGGCAGAGTCCCCTGTCTTCTTCTCCACTGCACTGCTGCTCTGGGAGCTGCCGCTTGATTTACGGTCTCGTAACTGCAAAGAAACCAGAGACTTTTGTGGTGGGAGCTTCCTCAGTGGGACGCAGTGTGTGTGTTGGGGGGAGGGGAGGGGAGGGAATCTTTCTGCGGAGACTGAGGCAATGGTTTGATAACACATTTCTCTTTGCTTAATGCTTAGTCGAAAACGGGTCAGGATGCACCTTGGAAATGACGCAGCCCGTGCTGCCTCCCTGTCAGCTCCACACAGGAAGGGACATGGGTAACAGCTGCCAGAGTTATCTCCTTGGGGAATGGAAATGGTGCAGCCTCTCCCACTGCTGACGTGTCTTTTCTCCTCGGGCCCCAGAGCTACCGCTGTGGGCAAACAGTTCTCCCCTCTCAGCTGAGGTGACCAGAGAGCAAGTGTGAAAAATCAGGACGGGGGTGGAGGGGTAATAGGCACCCATAAAAGGCAAAGCCCCGAATATCGGGACTGTCCCTATAAAATCGGGACATCTGGTCACCCGACTCTCAGCACATTCTCAGATCAAAGCAAACCAAACTCAAAGCAGAGTGACTTAGACAAATTGGAGGATTGGGCAAAAAGAAATCTGATGAGGTTCAACAAGGACAAGTGCAGAGTCCTGCACTTAGGATGGAAGAATCCCATGCACTGCTACAGGCTGGGGACTGACTGGCTAAGCAGCAGTTCTGCAGAAAAGGACCTGGGGATTACAGTGGATGAGAAGCTGGATATGAGTCAGCAGTGTGCCCTTGTTGCCAAGAAGGCTAACGGCATATTGGGCTGTATTAGTAGGAGCATTGCCAGCAGATCGAGGGAAGTGATTATTCCCCTTTATTCGGCAATGATGAGGCCACATCTGGAGTATTGCGTCCAGTTTTGGGCCCCACACTACAGAAAGGATGTGGACAAATTGTAGAGAGTCCAGCAGAGGGAAACAAAAATGATCAGGGGGCTGGGGCACATGACTTACGAGGAGAGGCTGAGGGAACTGGGCTTGTTTAGTCTGCAGAAGAGAAGAATGAGGGGGGATTTGATAGCTGCTTTCAACAACTTGAAAGGGGGGTTCCAAAGAGGATGGAGCTCGGCTGGTCTCAGTGGTGGCAGATGACAGAACAAGGAGCAATGGTCTCAAGTTGCAGTGGGGGAGGTCTAGGTTGGATATTAGGAAACACTATTTCACTAGGAGAGTGGTGAAGCACATCTCCTCTGGTAGGAAGAGAAGCTGGATATGACCTTTTGGTAGGGCATGGATTAGCTACTTCCTTATCTGAATGAATGTGGGGGGAAAGCAAGTTGGGGGTGTATTTAATGACAGCACACTTGGCTTGTATGAAGTTCTCTTTCCAAAGGTGGGTGAGCATTAGCATTGGACACCATTTTTTCATCAAAGTGTTTTTTTGATGAAAAATGCCATTTTTGTTCAAATGGACTGTGACAAAGTTCCTCCTCTATCTTGGTGGGTCCTGCGCTTATTGGCGGATTTTCTTGCCTCAGAGATTCACCGTGTGGGTTGGGGAACAGCCCAGAGTCCTTCCCCTCTGGAAGAACCCACAGTCCAGGTCAATTGAGAGGTTTGGGGGGAACCCGGGCCCGCCCTCTACTCCAGGTTCCAGCCCAGGGCCCTGTGGACTGCAACTGTCTATAGTGCCTCCTGTAACAGCTGCATGACAGCTACAACTCCCTGGGCTACTTCCCCATGGCCTCCTCCAAACACCTTCCTTATTCTCACCACAGGACCTTCCTCCTGGCGTCTGATAACGCTTGTGCTCCTCAGTCCTCCAGCAGCACACCCTCTCACTCTCAGCTCCTTGCGCCTCTTGCTCCCAGCTCCTCACACTCCCACCACAAACTGAAGTGAGCTCCTTTTTAAAACCCAGGTGCCCTGATTAGCCTGCCTTAATTGATTCTAGCAAGTTCCTGATTACTCTAGTGCAGCCCCTGCTCTGGTCACTCAGGGAACAGAAAACTACTCATCCAGTGACCAGTATATTTGCCCTCTACCAGACTCCTGTACCCCACTGGTCTGGGTCTGTCACATATCCCTCCCCTCTGCTCAATGCCAAAGGGTTGGGCAGCTTGGGACGCCAGACAGTGCACACGTGACAAGCCATCGGCGTTGCCATGACGGCTCCCTGCTCTGTGTTGCACATGGAACTGGAAAGGTTGGAGGGATAAGAACCATCTGGTCACCCTTGTGTTCTTCTCCTTGTTCCACTGCATCCATTGAAGAGGGGCATGGTCGGTCACGAGGACAAATCTGCGCCCGAGCAGGTAGTAGCGCAATGTTTCCATGACCCATTTTACAGCGAGGCATTCTCTCTCCACCACTGCATATTTTTGTTCCCTTGGAAGGAGTTTCTGACTGAGGTATAGAATTGGGTGTTCCTCCTCCCCGACCATCTGTGATAGAACGGCCCCCAACCCTACTTCCGATGCATCCGTCTGCAGGATAAACTCCTTGGTGAAATCAGGGGCTATCAGTACGGGGTTACTGCAGAGGGCAGTCCGTAGGTGAATGCTTCCTCTGCTGCGTCAGACCATCTCACCAGATCAGGTCCACGGGCTTTCACTAGGTCTGTCAGGGGGCTTGCCCTTGTGGCAAAGTGGGGGATAAATCGTCGGTAATACCCCACCACACTTAGGAACGCCCGGACTTGTTTCTTGCGAATTGGTCGGGGCCAATTTTGGATGGCCTCTAACTTGTTCACTTGGGGTTTTACCAGACCTTTTCCCACAATGTAGCCAAGATATTTGGCCTCTGTAAACCCTACAGTGCACTTGGCAGGGTTTGCTGTAAGGCCAGCTCGCCTGAAGGTATCTCCAGGTGGGTTTCCCAGTCTGGGGTATGAATGACCACATCGTCCAAGTAGGCAGCAGCATAACTGTTATGCGGGCGTAATAGCTTGTCCATGAGGCGCTGGAAGGTAGCTGGCACCCCATGTAGTCCAAAAGGGAGGACAGTATATTGAAAAAGACCCTCTGGTGTAGAGAACGCAGTCTTTTCCTTTGCGTCTTCTGCAAGGGGAATCTGCCAGTACCCCTTTGTCAAGTCTAGGGTAGTTAAGTACCGGGCATTACCCAGACGGTCCACTAGCTCATCTATGCCAGGTATGGGGTACGCGTCGAACTGGGATACTTGGTTTAGTCGCCGGAAGTCGTTGCAAAATCTTGCGGTGCCATCAGGTTTGAGCACCAGCACGATTGGGCTGGACACTGACTGTGGGATTCTTCGATGATCCCCAACTCCAGCATTTTTTTTACTTCTGCTTTTATTTCCTCCCTTTTTGCTGCTGGCACCCGATAGGGCCTCATTGTTACTCTGGCCCCAGGGTTCGTGACGATGTGGTGATATGTCTCGGTTGTTCGACCCGGTTTTGTCGAGAACACATCTTGGTTCCGGAAGATCATCTCAGACACCTCATTCTTCTGGTCTGGTGTTAAATCAGGAGACACTCTCACCTGTTTGGAAGGCTTGTTTTCCTGGGTTAGGTCTTTTTGGACTGTCGTGCATGCCTCTTGTGCATGCCAGGGTTTCAGAAGGTTAACGTGATAAATCTGTTCTTGTTTTCTGCGTCCTGGCTGCCGCACCTTGTAGGTTACTTCCCCCACGGGTTCAACCACCTCATAGGGCCCCTGCCATTGGGCCAGAAGCTTGCTTTCTGCCGTGGGTACCAACACCATAACCCGATCCCCTGGTTGGAACTGTCACACTTTTGCCTGGCGATTGTAATGGGTTCGCTGGGCCTCCTGTGCCTTCTCCAAATGTTCCCGTACAATAGGGGTAACCCGGGCTATCCAGTCTCGCATCTGCATTACATGCTCTATTATATTTCTCCCCTCATTGGGTTCCTCTTCCCAGATCTCTTTGGCGATATCTAGTATGCCACGGGGGTGATGCCCGTATAATAACTCGAAGGGGGAAAACCCAGTTGAGGCCTGTGGTACCTCCCGGATAGCGAACATAAGGTAGGGTAGTAGGGTGTCCCAATCCTTCCTGTCCCGACTTATCACCTTCCTTATCATAGCCTTGAGGGTTCGGTTAAACCTTTCTACCAACCCATCAGTCTGCGGATGGTAGACCGAAGTTCTCAGGGTATGTATATGGAGCAGCGTACAGAGGTCCTTCATTAGCTTCGACATAAATGGGGTTCCTTGGTCAGTTAATATCTCCTTCGGTAGCCCCATTCGGGCAAAGATCCCCACCAGCTCTTTGGCTATAGTTTTAGAGGCCGTGTTCCACAGGGGGACGGCTTCTGGGTAGCGAGTAGCATAGTCCAAAACAACAAGTATATATTGGTGGCCCTGAGCCGTCTTCTCCAGGGGTCCCACTAGGTCCATGGCTATTCACTCGAAGGGTACCTCTATGATGGGAAGGGGTACCAAAGGTGCCCTCAAGTGGGGACAGGGACTGTGCAGCTGACACTCCGGGCAGGAGGCACAGTACCTCCGCACTTCTTCATGTCCTCCGGGCCAGAAGAACTGTCGTAGGACTCGTGCCAGGGTCTTCTCTACCCCCAAATGCCCCCCAAAAAGATGACTATGAGCAAGACTTAATTCAGCATTCTGGTGTTTTTGAGGTACTAGGATCTGCTGTACTGTGGGGAAATAGAGCAGGGGGGCCTTCTTTTTAATAGCCAGAGCTGTGAATCTGAAGGCCCCAAAATAATACCCTCCAACAGAGATCTGTTATGCTAACTACCCTTACACAAAGCAGTACAGGCCAGGGCCCAGGCCAGGGCCTGAACTAGACTAGACTGCACAATTCCCTGCCAAACTCGGTCAAGGGTCATGACCAGAGGAGGGGGGGGGGCAAGAAGGGAAAGAATAAAGAAAAGCCCCAGCAGCAGCACTAATGAAATATGTTCATGACTAATGAAATATAATAACCACTTGTGTGAAGCAATAGGTAACTTTAGCTAAATGCAATTTCTTAACTCATGCAGCTTCTCCTTTGGGTGATCTGTGACCCACTCCGTGATTCCAGCTATCTGCAAAAATAGCCAATCATAGATCCTCTTTAGGCGTCCCAT